AAGGAGCTGATTCTGTCACTATGATCACCCACTCATGTGAATTCTCAAACTGCCCCAACACACCCAGGTTTTGACCCCCTCTAAGGATCTCACTGATTGGCATATCAAAGACAGCCCAATCCGACACCTAGTGTAGTACCATAATTGAGTCTAGGGGTTAGGTGTAACTTTCCAATTTTGCCCATCTGTCTCCAAGGTCCAAGGCAATACTGGAAATTTGTCTGGTTTAGGGTTTCAAGAAAACCCATACTACATGTACCTCAGGTCTCACCCTAACAACTGAGACAAGCCACTCCAACCAATTTGGTGGCACATCAGTGTTAGCTTTGGCAGGATAGACCTCCCCAGATCAATCCAATGGTTGTGAAGATTTTAAACTAACACGACTCTCATAAGTGTCCCGTTTATGGGTAAAAACACAGAAACACACCACAATGACATGAATCAATTATGTACTTTATTCATTTATAATAAATGTCAAAAGATACATCAATCTTATTGGAGCTAAGGGTATAACTGTCCAACACCTACATCATCAATTACCTTCCTAATTCGACTTTGAAGGGTAAAACACCATATGAACTATTGTATCACCGAGCACCCACCTATGATCACTTCAGAGCATTTGGTTTCCTCTGTTATGCCAGCACCCTACAGCAAGGGAGAGACAAATTTTCTTTACGCACTCAAAAATGCGTGTTCCTTGGCTACCCTCATGGGAAAAAGGGGTATCGCATATATAGCTTGGAAGAGAACAAGTTGTTCATCTTGCGAGACATCCGTTTTTTTTTTTTAGGATTAGTTTCCATATCAAAATTTTGTCACTAGTGACGTTCAAAGCTCGGTCATACCATTGCCGACTCCTGATGATGTCACATCTAACCCATATGAACTGTTGCAATCTATTGATCACCTATCTACAAACAATCATGATACAATTCAAACTACCATGGATTTCTCCCATACTTCACCTGAGTTACCAGTTGACGACAATCATTCCATTGGTGCCCCCTCTCGACCTAGGAGAGAGTGTCGACCTCTAACGTGTTTATCCATCTATGATTGCCCAACAACCCTCACTGCGAAGGCCCATTTAGACACCACTCCTAACCCATCCAAAGTTACTAGCAGTGTCCCCAATTTAGAACTCACCACATATCAACAAGCATATAAACCTAATCACTAGAGAACAGCAATGGCAGTTGAATTGGCAGCCCTCGAAGCCACTCAAACCTGGACATTGACTAACCTTCCTAGCAATAAATCTACTGTGGGTTGTAGATGGATCTTCAATGTGAAAACCAATCCTGATGATAGCATCCAAGCACTACAAGGTGTGTTTAGTTGCAAAGGGATACACCCAAATTAAGGGTGTGGATTATATAGAGACATGCACTGGTAGCAAAACTTGTGACTATGCGGTGCTTATTGGCCCTTTCCACAGCCCGTCATTGGCATCTACATCAAATGGATGTAAATAATGATTTTCTGCATGGACAATTGCATGGAGAAGTATATACATGGACCCACCACCCGAACTACTCCCACCGGGAGATAATCGGGTCTACAAACTCAACAAGTCTCATTTATGGGGTTTCAGTCAATCTAAAACTGACAACACTCGGTTCACACTTCACAAATCTAGTCATTCCCTCATAGTGTTAGCCCATGTCGTCGATCTGGTGCTAGAAGGTGATGATCTTAATGACATTAACAGTCTTAAGACATATCTCGGAAGCCGTTTTCCTATTAAGGATCTTGAGCCCTCCATTTCTTCCTTGGAGTTGAAGTCATTAGGACATCTGAAGGCATTTTTCTTAATCAATGAAAATACCTCAAAGGAATCCTTGAAGACATGGGAATGACAGATTGTTAGCCTAGCTCATTAAGGATCCAATGCAGCCTAGCACTGGTCCTCCCATTAAGGATCCAATGCAATATCGACGCCTTGTGGGAAGGTTGTTGTATCTAACATTACAAGGCTTGAAATCAGCTATTCGGTCAACAATTTTGGCCAGTTTATGTCTGATCCTCGACAGCCACACCTTGATGCAGGAATGCATGTCTTGCAGTATCTCCGATGTTCTCCAGGCCATGGGATATTCTTGTCCTCTTCTAGTGATTTCACAATTAGAGCTTATTGTGATTCGGATTTGGCAGGTTGCCCTACCACAAGGCGCTCGATCCATGGCAGTCACAACAAGTGAGTTAGTTTGGCTCAAACAATTGTTCTCAGATCTTGGACTTGATCATTTACAACCCATGTAGTTCTTCTGTGATAACAAGGCAGCGCTACACATTGCGGCAAATCTAGTCTTTCATGAACGAACCAAGCATATCGAAATAGATTGTCACTTCGTAAGGGAGCTTATTTAATCTAGTTTATTACTACAACTCATATATCTTCCAAGGGACAATCTGCGGATATATTCACTAAGGCACTTGATCGTGATCAATTCCACTCTTGCTTACCCAAGTTGGGCATTCGTCCACCTCCTGCTCCAACTTGAAGGGGGTGTATTGAAGTCTTAACCAAATGTAATGGACAGCTGTAGTTTGTTAAACAGCTGTCAAGAAGTTGGTTGGACAATTGTATTCTGTTGGACAGTTAAACAGAATTACCAATATCTCATCACACATGAGCCTCATCGCAAACTGTACGTTTGTCTATATATACTTATTCCTCTCGAGTCAATAAGATTATCTTTTATTATTGTGTCCATTCCTTTTTCACACATCATAACCCAAATCTTGGAAACCATCCATACGAACAAAGTCCTGGAAGTCTCTCATGGAAGCAGTCAGTATTCGGTGGTAAGCCTCCCAGTTTCTCTACTGGGTCAAGAGTGGCGTTAAAATCTCCCAAGACCACATAAGGGAGGTGAATAGTACCAATAAAATCACAAAGAAAATTCCACATATATCTTCTATCAACACAGTTGCATTTTGCATGAATAGCAATGAACACAAAAGGGATAATCCTGGTATTTCTACTAAACAGCAAATGGCATATTCAGACGAACACAATAAAGAAACATTAATGTCTGAATGCCAGACCAACACCGGATAAGGGTTGTCACTGTAATTAGTCAATAACAAATCTAGATTTAGCCTTCTAGCAATGTGGGAAAGACCCCTCCAAGAAATTTTTGGCCCAGCAATAGCAAGTAGCAACAATACCGAGTGTAACTATTTTAATTTTTTCAATCTCCAGACAGTGGGGTTGTTCCCCAAACCCCGAGCATTCCAAAACAAGATATCCATATTACAATGAAACAAAATTCAAACAGGACCTAGTAATCACCTTCCTTATAACCGGGGCATTGGATTTCTTCTTGCCTCCTTTGGATCTCTCGACTTCACCTTCAGAGAAGGTCGAAGCCATGTGAGTTGTCTGATTTGGATCGAGAACTGCTTCTGTTGCTGCTGTGTTTTCTAATTCATGTACACGAGGGCCAACTTTGGCCTGGAACTCTGAATTCATTGATTGTAACTGTCCTGAGATCGATCTTCCTATGTGATAAGAGTTTGAAAATTATTGTCTTTCTTCCCACACAAAAAAGAACCATCAGATGATTGGCCACGGCTAGGCAAGGAAGAAAGATCATCAGAGTTACCAAGAACATTAGAGGAAGGATGATTGGAAGGATTTTGGTTGATAGGCTGGGGCAAATCATCATCCTACCAAGCAGTTATTATTTCAACTTTCATGTGGAGTGCAAACATCGGACAACCTGGCTTCTTCAGCAATAGTCACAATTCTTTTACCTTTCTTGGGGTCTCGCACCAACACCCACTCTTTTTCTTGAGTGGGTTTTGGATCCACGTTCTTCTTTACAGGTTGCATAGGCGCCTGTCTTCTTTTTTTGCTTATTGTGTCCATACAAGAAGCATTGTGGCCTATCTTGTAGCAAGACTCAATAGTACTCTAGCAATTTCTCATACTCTACAGTAGCAAGACTCACAGTACTTGGATGAGATTGAAGAACCCTAGCCGCCATCATCCTAGAGAGGGTAACAGTGATCTGATCAAACTTCAACACTAGACCTATTGCTTAGGCAATGGATCGAAGTAAAGCTTAGACGTAAAAGTTCACTAGCAGGTAAGGGATTTTATCCAAACAGGAGGAACGATGCTTGGCTCCTAGCCTAGTTCGAAGTTGGGTACCCATTTAAAGAAACGAAAGGTAAAAGATTTTTATGTGAAAAAAATCTCTTAACCAAAGCTTCAAGTAGTCTTCCTCCTTCAAGAATGTGATTAGGATATGCTCCGAGTCCAAAGCAGTAACCCAAAACTCCTTTGACGAAAAAAGATTTGCAGATAAATTCTTTTAACGCAGGAAGAGGTCTTCCATGCATGCACTTATGACTTACCAATCAAGGCCCACATGAAAAAGACGTACGATTGCAGCAAGATATCATCAGGAAAAACCACCACTGGCTCACCTTGTTTCAGCATGGAAGGAATAACTGGGAGTCTGGGACGTCCAAAGAAGGGGTATCGATGAGAGAAAGCTTAGAGAGAACAGCTGCGAAGGTCTACTCTACCCACTAGAGGCATCAGTGCAATGGATTCGACATGATGGAGAAAGAAGACACCTAGGGTTTCACGACTCAGATTGTAAGGAGGGATTTCGAATAACCACTTTTGTGCCTCCTGTTCTCATTAAATTTCATTTCCCGTGAAATTATAGTGCTTAAATCATTTCTTACGACGTAAACATACGTTTTTTTTTTTGCCTACTCCGAGCTCTTGTAGCCCCTTTAATATATAACAAATCACACTTCTAATTAACGCAGTCTTCTGTGCACATGCCATCTTGATCTGTTTTTATCTCATTTCCTAAGGTAATGGTGATTGTTACAAATCCAGGTTAGACTGAATCTTTCGATCACTCCCTTGCACACCTGTATTGACTGTAGTGGCAAACTGGCAATAGAATGAAGAAGGGAGAGAGAGAACCAAAGGGATAAGTTGTCAACAAGAAAGAATATGGGGAGAAAGGAAAGCCAGTCACGGACTAATAGAATATTTCCTCATTTACACGAGAAAGAATATGTCAACAAGAAGAAAATAAAGAAAAATGAAAATCCTAATGATAAAAGGCCATGAAATTTCTCTGTTACCAAAGCTTTTTATATTTTTAGTGGAAATCTAGGAAGCAAAAGGCTACAAACCTTAAAAAACAAAATGGAATGGTACTCATTTTTCCTCGTGTGCAAACCCGTTTACACTTATCCATCAAATGGCCAGGGTACTCATTTTTCTGGGCTTCGCTAGAATCTTCGTCAAGGTTCCAGAAAGGTGCACATTCGCTCTAACTTCAGTAATTCAAGGATCTTGGTGATACAAAAATGAAAGAAAGAAATAGAACCTTGCAGACCCTGACATCGGCAAATCAGGACGCAACCAATAAATCAGGTTAATAGTTGGTGCTGAAAATATCAGCGTACTAGTCTTTATCTTCTGCTTGGAGTTTAGTTCTTGCTTGGAGTCTCATCAATGTCCTTAAATTCACCTGTGGTCCTGTTCATATAAACATAGAAAATGGAAACAATCTTCAGTGTTGAAAGGAAAATGAAATTTCAGGCATAAATATAAGCATCTCATCAATGGCAACTGCTAGACATGGAAGAATCTCGTCACGAGGTAAAATGGGTACTTCTAGCTCTATGTAAGTGTAATTAAATAAGTGTTTTATGTACAAATTTTAGAATTTAATCTGCAGGCTACAAATCATAAGCTTTGGGGAACTCATACATGATCAGATACTGAACAGAAACATCCATGAAAGTTCATCAAGAACTAACATACCTATTATATGACAAGAAGGCATCACCTATGTTTCCTATAACCTTATTCCGTATCTTCCGCACACATATCTGGAAAAAAAATTGAAGAATTATCAAAACGTCTTTCCTATTGATTAAAATTCCAATTCTATGGTTTTCACTCACTTGCACTTGATCCAGTGGTCCTGCCTGTGGATCTCGGTTTCGGTGAATAACAATTCCATTATCACACTTGTTTATAAAATGTGCACTCCCACTGATATCATACAGGTTAGGTGGACCACCAACCCAGTGGTGTAACTGTCACAAGCTTTAAGGTTAGAAAATTATGGCAGACTTGCAAGAAAAGGACATACACATACACAGAGATTGGCCTGACCTGTCTAGGATGTGCTACAAACCAAACATGGCATGCATGATGTTGAGCAAAGCGTTTAATCTTAGTAAGCATCTGACTTACATACTCTGTTTCAGTCCTATCACAGACAAATTAATTAAGCACATGCAGGTATTATATATAACCAAGAAAACAGACTAACAGAATAACATTTTAGTTAGATTTAAGAAAGCAGCTCAATATTGTAATCCTTTTACTAAGAATGAGAGGACTAACCACTTGCTATTACATGTGTCATGGAAATATATTCCGTCATAGTCCTTGAGCTATATTTTATAATGATTTCAAGCTACTGGTTTTGAACTTCAACACTGAGAAATGGCATCATCAAAATGTACTCAACTACTCTCAATCAATGACTGACCTGTTTAGAACATGTGGCAAGAGAAGATTGACAACATAATACTGCCTTTAAGTGAAAAAAATGGCATCATCAATATCTGCATAGATATCTAGGTGGGTGCCAAACAGCATGCACGAACGGTGAACAGGACCCCAAAAGCATGTCAAGAAAAATCCAGGGGCACAATGGTCCAAGAGGTAGGACAATGGAAGTGGGAATAGTAAATTCTCTCATGGGACACGTGTTGAGAAAGGGACATACCGTAAGCACAACAACAAATAAATACCCGACCATGCAAAGGGACACCACTGCTGTCATGGAGAGAACCAGAGTGCCATTCTTCTGTCCTTCAAACCTACCTCCCATACCCACTCCCATTTAGAATCTCTGGTTACTTGTTTGGTCATAGAGATGGCATTGAAAATGATGAGAACCTCGATAAAAACTAACCTTTCCTCCATCTTTGAAGAGCTGACAGGAGAACATTCACAAGATATAGAGTCCCGCTACAAATACAGGGATGGTGGTGACGTTGAGATCCTTGCTCACAAGGTCTACAGCGTCATTGATTGCGTGGCTAGCATTGAAAATAAGCTAGAAAACACCACCACCGCCCTTCCAAATCTGTTCCTACAACCCTAAATGAGATGTGACATGGCAGGAAGCCGAATCTTAACCACGCTAAGATTTGTGGATGTGTGGCTTATGTCAAGAAACTTAAGACGAACAAGTTAGAACCTAGGGCCAACAAGTGCAGGGTATTCCAAAATGTCCTTAGGATACTGCCGATTAGAAAGCCTTTGTCATTTGGCATGCTATCTTTCTTGAAAAAGAGTTTATTCAAGATGGTGGTGCACAACGAAGAATTCAGCTGGAGGAGTTGTCTGAAGAGCCCCAGAACCTGCAAAGTCAACAAGAGGACCCTATTCAAGAAGAACCTGTAGATCCACAACCTCTGCATAGATCTAGTAGAGTTTCTCACTATCTAGATAGATATGGATTTTTCCATGAGGGTGTAGAAGAAAGTTTTCCTCTAGGAGAATGCAATCATAAAGATGATCCTACTACCTACTAGGAAGCAATGTCGGACATCGATGTCAGGAAGTGGCTTGAGGCCATGACATCTGAAGCAAATTCTATGTACTCTAACGAAGTCTCGGATCTTGTTGACTATATGGAGACATTTTCTCCTGTGGCTAAGATTGGCTCAGTTCGAGTGTTGATTTCTTTAGTAGCAATAATGTATGATTGGCTCCTCTTTCAACTTGACATAAAAATGCCTTCTTGCATGGTGATCTTGTTGAGGAGGTATATATGGAGCAACCACTAGGGTTTGTTGCTCAGGGGGAGGATGGTAAAGTTTGCAAACTTAAGAAGGTGATTTATGAGCTAAAACAATCTCCACAGGTGTGGTTTGGCAGATTCAGTGAAGTAATGAGGGACTTTGGCATGAAACAATGTCAGGTAGACCATTCTGTGTTCAATCATGAATCAAAAACATGGATGGTATTGTCATAACTGGCAGTGACAACAATGGGATTGACAGGTTGAAGAACTTTCTACATGATCACTTCCACACAAAATATCTGGGTAAACTGAAACATTTCCTAGGGATAGAAGTTGCAAGGTCAAGGCATGGTATTAACTTGTGCCAAAGAAAGTATGTCATTGATTAACTTGAAGAAATAGGGTTGGTGGGTGCCAAACCGACTAAAAACACCCATGGAACCAAATGTCAAGTTGAGTATTGATGCAGGTGAAGAGTTTGATGATCCTATAAGGTACCGGAGGTTGGTGGGTAAATTGAACTACCTGACTATTACTCAGCCAAATATATCATTTGCAGTAAGCATGGTGAGCTAGTTTATGTAACATCCTCAAGTTTCACATTGAGAGGCAATTTTAAGAATTGTTAGGTACTTGAGGGGTACACAAATGCTGACTGGGCCGGATCTGTGTCTAATAGGAGGTCCACTACAGGGTATTGTACCTTCATTGGTGGCAATTTGGTAACTTAGAAGAGCAAGAAACAAACTGTGGTAGCAAGTAGTGTTGAAGCTGAATACAGGGCCATGTCTCATACTACATGCGAACTAGTGTGGCTGAAAAATCTTTTGCAAGAAATGGGGTTCTCAATTGATAGGTCCATGAGATTGTGCTATGATAACCAAGTTGCAATCCACATTTCTTCTAATCTAGTATTTCACGAGAGAACAAAGCATATTGAAGTTGACTGCCACTTTGTAAGAGAAAAGATGATCAGTGGAGTGATAGATACAACTCATGTGAGTTTAGGAAACCAATGGGTAGATTTGTTTACAAAAGAATTGAGTCGGGGAAGAGTGGATTACACATGTGACAAGCTGGGACTATACAATGTTTAAAATGTTGATGTCGAAGGAAATGTCACTTACCAAAATATAGGACATATGTTGGAAATGTCGAGGGTAAATATTGTAAAAATTAGAGACATTGTGGAGATATTATGAAATATGTGGAAATATGCAAAAGATATTTTTTAAAATGATAAGAAGCATTAATACATATTTCTAGACTATTATCTTATCCCAACCATTATATAAAGCTAAGAAACTAAGATCAATAACAAATTAGTAAATGACGATTTACTGATTTATTATCCATTTTGATGTTTTTACAAGATTATCTGATATTTTCTTTTCTTATTTTTAGTTCTGATTTATTATAAATTCTAATATATTTATTTCACACTAGTAAATAGAAATACATTTATTCTGATTTTTTAAATATTAAAGTTATAATACATTATGTTTTATTATAAATTTAA